AAGCGGAACATACCTAAATTCGACACTGTCTTACTTCACTCAAACTGGAGCAGCTTACGACGAAAATACTTAAGCAAAATTCCAACAGACGTAAACACGATGAGTTGTGGGCCAAAAACATGAAAAATATCGGGAATTTCGGACGCCATTTCCCCCACGCAACATCCGCAAAAATCCTCGCAGCGTGTACGCGCGTGAGCCGCGGGCGATGGCGCAATTTATTCTAAAAATAGAAAAATTGTCCCATATCATGGGGACAGCCCCAATACTGGAAATGGCGCGCGCTTAAGGTCTCCGTCCCCGATTATGGTTCCTGGTTTCGGGCCTATACTCCCCACTGTTTTAAGATATGGCTTTCGGGCCCGATAGGCTTCCGGGGCTTTCGAGAGACGGGCCCCTGGACCGTTATTTTCTCTATTGATAATGGAGTCAAGGTGACTTTGTTTCCTTTTGCTTATTTTTGTAATCACTAGTATTTCGAAATGTTTCTTTATTAAAACAATAAAGACACAAAAAATAGAAGTAATAAAAAAACTGAAAGGAAGCATCGAACATCTTACCGAGTTTCTAGGACATCCCAGTGCCTTAAAATGAAATCCCAAGCCATTTGCCGCCCCACGTTACTACTTTGTGCGACTTTACCGATCACAAATGTACCTTCAGACGATTTGATCTTGGATGTGTCTAGTGAGAATTGAAGAAACCTAAAATAAAAAGATAAAGGATATTACACGTCGGCGCAAAGATATGAATTTATTTTAAAGTGGTGAAAACAATATTTTACCAACGGGTGCAGAGATTGAGTGAAATATTGTTTTGATTTTATATCTTGAGGCCACCATGTAATTAATCATATAAAAACTGACTGTTTGTTTCTGAACAAAGCGAGAAATGACGTCATCAATATCTTCACTATCAAGGGTATGGAAAATACGCCACCCGGGTCCCAGTTGTATTTTGTATGAATTTTATGAGTGATGTATTTTCCAGTAAAACACTCATATCTGCATAATGAAAGGAAGTAAGACATTTCTATCCATCAAGGCGCTATACTGATCATTTAACGGTAAAACGAAAGTTCAAATGTAGGAATTGAAATTGCTTGAAGAAATCGAAAAGAGCTCCCAAAATAAAAGGGGCACGAGTCAGAAAAAAAGTCAGGCGGAGCCACCATATTAGGAGGGAACTCCGACGGTAACGTCATTACCTGCTAAGGATCCATGGCTCAGCTGATGCAGCCAATCCGTGTATTAGCTTCATACTCTCTGACGCCACTGAAGTGCGCAGCAACTGATTAAAAGCGAAATCCCACTCTTCCCGACCACCACTGGTAATACCATAATAATAAACTAATGAGCGGAAATTTGCTGGTACTCTGTAGACAAAGCAATACATCATTGTTAGCAATGGTTATTTCTATATTCCTTTAGTGTTATGCCAGGCTATGTGCTAATATTTATTGAGCTCTGTGAGCGAGACATTAAAATGTAGTAACATTCACCAGGAGTAAATTTACATGCCAACATTCATGTTTTTACCCTTTGATGTATATAAATATTTTAACTTTCAGCTTTTAAACTTTTCACCCTTTAGGTCCCGATAGTACCATATGGCACAAAATGTTATAATAAGCTTAATATTTGGCCAATTCATTTCAAATTTGGACGCCAAAAGGATCTTTGAGAGATCTTCACATTGATAGCACAAAATCATAACCCCTCCTGATTCAGACCTCATTAACCACCCCTTAAGATTTTGAAACTTTTGCATGCGCTTTACAATTTTACGGTCAAGTGAATATG